TTAGTGTRCACTGCTCCCACTAGGCATTATTTGAGCAGTCTGGTTGAGGCTTTAGCCTGAATTCAGGAGAGGAGTCAAAAAGATGCATGTATGTGGAGACTTGAATAGAAATCAGAATGAGGAGCACAGCTCATGATGGATCAGAGGGGAAAAAGGATGAAATAAAAAAAATGCTGTCTACCAGTCATCAGAGGTTAAACTGAGACTGAAAGCARTGGTGCAATAATGAAGGTGATAAATAATAAGATGGAAGCAGACTGAAAAGGAAACCAGAGCACCGAGAATAAGATGAGACATACAAGCAAAAACAAAAAGGGGTGATTTTCCACATCAATAACCTCTCCTTTCACACCCCTGTGTCCATTTGGGAAACTGACATGGGCTCAGGGAAAGGGAAGATTGTTGTTCATACAAACAACAAAAATCGACTGTTTTTAACACATCCTGATCCCTGTACTGCTGCTAAACATGTCAAAGTATGAAGGCTTGGCCATTTTAAATGGACTCGTTAAATGGCTGAGAAAGCTTCAAGGGGTTATTRTGCAAAACTGACTTTTTTGAGCTTWACATCATGTTYTAATATTCCCTCATCAAAAACATACCCACAGGGTTGCTTTGACTCATTCATGCATGTTTGAGAAATCCATGAATCTCCTGTGGTAGCCATGTGGAGCTGCCTAAATGTTTGCTGGTACAAAGCACCGCCTATTTACACAAAACTCCTCCCTGGAACTCCGTCTGGAGTCGAGCTTGGGCCCCACAGAGCACCCCTCCCCCAAAGCATTGCTGTGAAAACGTGCTAAAGTGGGAGGGTCAGAAATGATAGGATGTTCTTAAAGAGACAGAGGCCAATTTCAGGATGAAGTCAAATTTATTTTTGATTTACATCATTTTCATAACAACTAAAGGTAGCATATTTACTGATTAGATGGGAAGTATGTGCCTGTAAAACACATAATCCCTCCCTTAATGACTGTATAACGAAGTGAATGTAGTTATCAACCATTGGTGTGTGCCACTTTTAGATCACCCGCAACCTCCAACTGTTTTATTTGCCATGAAAAAGTTGTCGTCATTTCCAGATTTACAAAAAAGGACCACAAACTCAATCAGACCATGATCCCTAAAGTCAAAGTCAAATGAGATATAAGACAGAATTTGAATTAACTTTTTTGTAGCTTTCTTGGAGTTAAGCTCCCAGTGCTTAACACAGAATAAATAATAAAAAAAAATCACTTTAAGGACACTTCTACATCAGTGTCAATTTGTGCTGGTGGTTTACCTTTGCCTATCCATGTCTTTCTTCCACATTTCCTGTATCCTCTCTAAATTCTCACATGCACTAGTTGACCTCCGTGTATGCACTGCAGAAGACGAGGATGAATCATTGTGGTGTCTATTAGAGACCTGTATATTTATCAAACTGTATGAGGTAAGCTCTCTAGGGTGACTGCTGCTGCACACAAGTCACATGCATCTGTAAAACCCGAACATTTTTGCACTGTGAAGCATTTTCGTAACACACAAAACTACAGGGCATAGTCTTGACCACATGCAGAGTCTTGCAAGTTAATTGGCGAGTCACGTCAAAGACCTGTACCTTTTATTTTCTARCAAATTGGGTCATTTCCTTTGTTGCCATCCCCTTGTGTGTGTCTTATTTGAGGATACAGTGTTTAAAACTTTATGCAAATGTATCGACATCTGAACAATTAAGAAGGAGGTACTGATTTGTGTGGGCGTTGACTGCAGCTCAAAGTGTTTTTGTGCAGCCGTGGTTTTGCAACAGTGGATGAATAAAAGGTGTCCAAAAYGCATATGTGTTCCACTGAAGCAGCGTTAAAGTCCTTTAATGCATAGTTCTGGTAAAAAAAAAAAAAACTGCTCTTATAATCCATACTAAAGGGTATCAGAGCTTGGCATAAATTAACTTTTATACAGAAATGGGTGGATAATGAGTCTTCTCTGGGAATACCTCATTTAAATCAATTTAATCATCTCACAAGATGCAAAATAGGAATATTTAGTTTTCTGAGTTCCTATTTGCCAAAAGGAAAACAAGCACAAAGCCATGGTTAAATGAGCGGATTATAGGGCTGTTGGATAAAGCCAAAAGAGAGACTTACTGACCCATTTAATGTCCACTTTCAGAGGAGCTGCATGTTGGATGTGACCCCATTCATTCCCCCCCATAATCCTACAAGAGATGATCTTGTCTCTACATGGGCAACGTTATTGGAGGTGACAAGAACCAAACTGTCTGTTGTGCACGGATTTATCACACTGACGTTTCRCACTCCCTGATAGGAAATACACTTGCTCAGATGTGTTTGTACTAAAAATACACAAGGGTAGAGTAATTACACATTAGAAAAATGTGAACATCATCAGTCTTCTAAAAAAAACTCTCCTATCGACTTAATTTCTCTACATGCTTTTAAATTCCCAACTATGCTGGATGAACCATGAGAAATGAAAACTTGTAGATAATTTGCAGTCATGGAGCCACCCACATGATGTTACTTCCTTCTGTAAAATGATAAACATACGGCCATCACAGGGAAACGCAAACCTATTTTTCGACTATGGCAGGAAACAAGAGCTGCTAAAGAAAACCTCCACAGGCAGGAAAGAAAAATTCTAACTCCACTCAGGAAGGAGATCAGAACCAGAGGCTTTCTTGCTGTGAAGTGACAGCACTACACTACCATGCTGTCCACAACTGAAAGTTGTCAAGCATTTGTTGAAGCTGTTTTGTTTTGTACTGTATGTACTTACAGCACATTCGAGCTGTGGTTGTTGTATATATTGGTTTTGTTGTGTCAACAGGGCAGTATTGTTTAAAATACAGTATTTACAACAGCATCTTTACTATCTCATTTTCAGGAAGGTGAAGCTTAAAGTATTAGTTAGCTAAGCTCTATAGGRCATAAACTGCTCTTTGCATGCAACATTTTGCTGTACTTGTAAATCGAGGTCGCTTGAGTTTGAGGTACACAAAATGCTCTTTTCCTTTTTTTCTTTATTGCTTTGTTGCCGTACTGAAACCACAATGAACTTATGCTACAAAAGCCTTCTGATTACTTGTTTCAGTGCCCAGTGAAGCAGGCAAAAAAACGAGCATCAAGATATTAAAGAGAGGGCGTCCAGTGACAGCCAGAAAAAAAAGTGCCATCATTTATGTGTCAACATCAGCCATGTGGGAGGACAAGTTTATTGACATCTTGATGATCATCCTGGACCACTCTCCCTTGCTCTCATCGACTTCAGCTCAACATATATTAGTCAGCAGCCGGGCCAGACTCATGTTCCATTTGTCAAGAAGAGAGAGCACAGTCCTTGTAGACATTAAAATAAAAATGTGCATGACGAGGAGCAAATCCAGTATGTCAGGTAGTATTTGTAATGTTTCTAAGCATACTCTATTGGACAAGAAGTGGACTTCTCTTGATGGCTGGGAGGACTCGCTGTGTGGAGTGTTTTCAAAGCACTCCRGCACAATGCGCATAAATATCTGAATTGTGGTGGTATTTCAGGACAGATCAGTTTAAAGCATCTGATTTTGCTATCGGTGATCTGTGTCCATTCAACAAATGAACAAATCGATTGAACATAAAGCCTGGTTGTACATAGCTGAATCTATATCAGCAGAGCTATAAATAAATGCTGGTGCTTGGGATCTTTCCAATCAGCTTACAGCATATACAGTAAATGTCAAAAAGATATTATGACCATCTGTAAAGATGCACTCTGAAACATTTAGTTTTGTGTTTTAATCAATTTAATTAATTTGAATAACTGCATAAAACAAATTCTTGCACAAGACTAAAATAAGAGGGAAAGAACGATTCCCGTGGAATAATCTAAATTTAGATAAACATTTAATTCAAAAACTCCCTTATTATTTGTCATTTTTTCTGTGAAGGAACATCAAACATTTAGAGATGGAATAATGATCGTAATTGTTGAAGTGAATCTTCTGAATATTATTTCTGCTTTGAAAAGTGGACTGCATTCTTTGTCACAGAAAGGCTCACCTTATTCTGGCTATCCTGATGCTGTTCCACTGACTGAATCCAATTTAGCAGCCCCAGCTCAAGTCCTATCAATACCAACGTGGACGAGCAAACATTAAAAAATATTGAGTTCTTTGATAATCTTTGGAAAAGTTGGTTGACCTCTGTGGCTCATCACTGACTGTATTGAGAATTACATGGGCTTAGGACTCTGGGTGTAAAGGGGATTAGGGTAATTACTGTTATTATATTCCACTGTAAGGGCTATCTCCAACCTAGACTAGCTATTGCTCAGCTCTTGACAGCTAAATTAAAAAACATGGGCAACTGACACGACTCTGGGTGATTGATCCTTCTCCCTCATGTGGGTCTACCTTCTCTCTTAGTCAAAACCCTAAATCCTTACACTCTCATCTCACAGTGTGAAATGATTTTCCCCCTCTTTTTAATGGCCAATGGAGATCTGAAATTTCAACATCACATGGGGAATGATCCAACCTTGCCCTAGGCCAAACTTTGCACCTGACCAAGCATGAGTCCCTCCAAAAGTGTGAAAATATATTTCCTTTCCTCCCTGTCTCACTCCATCATAAAATAAAATAAAATAAAATAAAATAAAATAAACATACTAGCAAAGGTCCCTGGAGCCATAGCACAAGAATGCAGGAATGGCAGACTTCTCCAAATCCCCCAGATACAGATCCTTCATGATATGGTATCTGGCTTTGAGGTGTTGTTTATCACAGACCTCATCTCTCTTCAGCCCCCCCCCCAAGATGCTTTCCTACACTGAGAAGTTCCTCATAACATAGCTGGAACATATTTGGTTCTAAATTAAAAAAAAAACAGTCAGCTTTGACACTTGACACATGGATGGGGAATACCAAAGGAATATCAAAGTGTGCTTGACAAACTAAAATCACCAACTTAGCAATGAAGTTTAAAAAGCGTGCTCTGTAGAAGAAAAAATAAATGGGTTCTTACCACGTGCTGAATCTGGTGGGTCAAATTCCAAGTTGTATCTCAAGACGTAAAAGTTATCCCACACATAGAGCTGGTTATCTCTGGGATTATAATCCACGGCTGCAATGTATTGGTACTGGTTGGGAAAGTGGATATCAACATACTCCCCACGGTTCAGTTTAGTATTGTAAATATAATCTATCAGGCTCTTGCTGACCTCACTTTCATTGTCTTCATAGGTGGAGCGGACAACATAGAGAACTCCACAAACCATGAAGGCATTAGAGGCTGAGCGCTTATCATAGGTCGTTTCCCAAGTCGCCTCAAATCGTAGYGTGTATGGATTTAACTGGCTGATTACCATCATGCCGTTGTTTTGCTCTGTGGCATAGATCACCCAAAGCCCGGTCTCATCCACCCCCAAGTCGATGTCTGTTTTACCTCCCCACTTGTAGGGTGACGTGTCATGATAGTTTGCGTTATTGATGATGGCCTCGCCACTTTTGATTCGAGTCCGCAGGTCRAATTTCACAATGTTACGTGTCCGCTCCTTGTTGAAAAACACAGCCCCGTCATAGACCACAAATCCAGTTCCGTCCACCCGGTGTGGCAGCTTGTACGTAATGGTCTGCCGGGCGTTTTTGACATCATCCAGGGAGGAATACTCAATCAAAGTGTCGGTCCTATAAGGGGTCCAAGGCATGAAGTAGATTTTGTCACCRGCTTGAAGTGGGTCTTTGCACCAGGCCCCGGCTTGTTGCTCCGCTTCAAATAGAAAGGACGGCTCACCGACAGCTTTCAGAGTCCCAGGACAAATAAAAACTAGTAATGAGAAGAGTACAATGAGCAAAAGTTAAAATGTGAAACACAAAATTGCAAAAAAACACAATTTCTTTTAATAACATGTTTGTTTAATGTGTTGTCCAAAAAAAAATAAGGACAAATACATAATTTAAAAAAGTGGCCAAAACAGATTTACCAACTATAATGCCAATATTTACAACAATTTWGGCCTTTTGTAAAGAAAGTAAAATAGAATGTTATTTGCATTTTGTTTAAATATATAAAATATTCTGAAGCAAAGAGTAGATGGGCCTCAGACATTCATAGCTGACTAGAACACAAAGGAGGGGACCAGAATAGAAACAAAAAAACCGATCCTGTAAACAAAAGCAAACAAATAAACATTTAAATAAAAAAATGCAGCCAAAAAAAGAAAGAAAGAAAAAGAAAAAAAAAGTACTTGGCAATAGACAGTAAAAGTTATGGTAAAGCAGGAGTCAGTCGAGTCTGCAAACTTTATATTCTTAAACGGGTCTCAGTCACACCACTTTTTCTACAGGGTATACATGAAAAGGCTCTTCTTTCAAACGTGGTGCAAATATCACAATCATCAAATTTGAAAATACTTTCACTAAGTATGTTTTTGAGGTGTTTTGGTTGTTGCTCTGAAGTACAGGAGGCATAAGAATCAAGAGAGGAAAGAGAAGCAAGTGGTCAGATGGGTAATAATGGGGAAGAAGTGTGAGAAAGGGGGTAGCTTGGAGAAAAAAGGGACAGTAGAATGCAATAGCTTGAAAAGAGGGCCAAGAAACACTGTTACCATGGCATGCTATGAGAAAGGGTTCGGAAGCCAGGCAATATGAGATTCTGCTGAGTAGCAAAAGCACACARGGAGAATGAGAAGAGGATGTCCCTAAGGACTGCAGCCAATACACCCCCATTTACATCTTTTGGCTGCTTGTGTGCTGTTTTCTTTTCTTTTTTTTTTTTTTGTCTTTAATGGCCAGCCTCACTTCCTTTGTAGAGCTACTCTGGCCGTTAACATTACAGTCGGGGTGTTCTGAAGGAAACATTTACGATGTGTTTGTAGAGGCCACCATGAGAAAATAGGTATTTTACAACCAGATGCCACAAAACAAGGAGCTAGGATTTGGATCATGTCTGTTATTTACCTTTTTGCTCCACTTCTATTTTGGGCGTTGGAAGAGAGAATGAAAGGGGTGCAAGGGGGGAAAAAAGAGATTAAAATGAATTAACTGTCATCGCTGTGACAACATATGCAGCAACATGTTATGAGACATGGAAAAAAAACGATGGCTACACCTATTAAAAGCAGAAAAGTTTTGAGAAAGATGGCACACAGCAGTCAAAGCTCTGTAGTAGAAAAATGGGTTAGATCACATAAAAAAGTCTGATCACAATTGTGCTCATGACCAACTGCCAATACAGATTTTTTTTTCCGTTTTTTTTTTTTTTTTTTTTTTTTTGTAGTGGTAGGTGGATTTTTTTTCAACTCGCTGCCAAGCTTGAGTTTGGATTATGATGGCTAGCAATTTATAATCATTGTCTTACATTCAGAAGTAAATATTGTTTTTTCTCTTGCTGTTTTTTAACTGCAAACAGTTTGAGCATTACAAAAAGATCTTAGTTACTGTAAATAATATAGATCACTTTTAAATTATAAAACAAAAAAAGATAAGCTTGCAATGCAAAATGTATTAGGTTCAAAGAGTGTCTCTTTGTCTTACACATCATATATTTACAACACTTGTTGATTTAATTTTAAAAAATCAACCCAAAGTTAAACCATAGTCTGGGTCTGAAAAATCCCCCAACCACTACAAAAAGATATTTCTTATTGTTTTCTTGTTTAAATAAGGATGGGTGACATATTAAAGGAAAACCTAAATAACTGAGTGAACAAAAATAGTWAACCTGGACTGTATAATATAATTAGTTAGAATCTAATCGCTCCCTCAAGTATGTATAAAATGCCAGGCACTCTCAGCAGTGTCTGATTTTGTTTCGAGATGACAGAAAAAAAAAGATCTGGATGACTTTATGCATTAAGGCACATAGCTTCACTCACAGTGACTACTCAGTTGGCTAGAATTACATTAAAAACAGTGTCCTATGAATTTTGATCTATGGGAAATGTATCAATAAAAAAGGAGTTAGATATTATGGCTGACATTTAATGACTGAGCTGGTTGTGCATTAGTCTGATACTTTAGAACAGGAAACAGAAAAAAAGGGGGGAAAATCTCTCATGTTACCAATAAAATACTGTATTGGCAAACAACACTGGATGTTGTCCATGTCAGAAGGAAATAGGCACATGCGTAAGTACTTCCCCAGAGCAACACATTCAGTACATACATGTTGATAACAAACTGCACAAAAAGGGAAGGCTTTCTATGGCACTTCTGATTGCTTTAGCTAATCTTGATAAAACAATTTTACTATCATGTATCATTTACCTACCGAAACTATAATTACATCAGCTAATTGACCTCATCAAAATAATTGCAGAATTTTTTTGTCCGTTGTCCCTCCTTTAACTCTGAATGGCATAAACGTGAAGGCCTCATGAATCACATTAAGTGCACTGTTTCAGAGAAATACATTCTAATTGCTGTAATCTAGCTTTGTTATCTGTGAATCTCAGTTAATGTTTTTGTTCTATAATGCAAAGCAACATTTTTTTTTTCATTTTTATGCAATGCTGTATAGGACTGCACATTTACATTTCAATAAAAAGTCCACATAGCAATATTTTTTTCTGGCACAGTTCAGGTCAACACAAGGCACTAACACCTGGCCCAGATCCCATAAATAATAACTGTCATTTGGTGGCCCAGATGTGATTTGCCAGAGGTGGTAATGGGCCAACACCGCATAAACCAAATCATAACTGGGACACTTGTGGCATTGACAGATTTGGACCACATGATCTACACTACAACCAGGCCAGTTGTGGCATGCCATCTTAAACAGTGCCATCATTGCCAGACCTGGCCCACACCTGGTTGACAAATCACTTTCCATGCCAGCAGTGCAGCTTGACACCAGATCTGGTCTACACCTGTCTGCTATGTGTGATGTTGTTCTTTCAGTTATTCCCTTCTGCAGGGGTCGCAACAGTGAGCAAACTCACGTAAAAGATTTGGAAATTGGTTTACGCCAAATGCCATTCCTGACACATTTGTGTGCAGGAAAGATCCATGAGCATCTACAATAGGTTTTTAGTTAAAAGAGTTACAACAACACCAAATTTCCCTCTGGGATCAATAAAGTATTTTTGAATTGAATTGAATTTGGACTCAAACCCTCAACYTCAAGAATAAGGGACTTTGACATTGACCACCAAGCTCCAGCAACTCCCTAGAGGCTACATTCACAACGCAGATCTTAATTACAGTTTTTGCTCTGCTCCATTTTTGTGTGTGTGGCCATTAACATCTTCATTAAAATGCAACCTCCAACATAGAGACTTCAGTTTGAACAGTTTACAGTTCTGAAGTGACCAGCAGGAGTGGAAGAAGAAGTTTTGTCAGATGCAACGTGCTGTGTTCAAAGAAGTAAACATGAATACTACACATGTTAACATGTGTGGATCAGTTCTGGACTTCTACTCTGTAGCTAAAGACCTGTGGAGTTCCAAGATTTAATCTCCACAACCCCAATTAAAAAAAAAAAGTTGAGACGTAAAGTATTATTGAAATTGCAATGATTTGCAAATTCCAAAATGGAATATAAACTTATCAAATGTTTAAAACAAATAAGACAATTTAGATTTTTGCATCACTTCATGTGCTCTGGAATACTTCCACAAATCATTGTATGTGGAGAGATTGCCGTACCACAAGTTCTAGCTAAAAAAGAAGCCATATGTGAAAATCATCCAAAAACTAAAGCTGTCCTCTCTGAGCCAAAGCTCATTTAAAATGAACTGAGGTAAAGTAGAAAACTGTTGTGTGGTTTCACGAATCAGTACTTCAATTTTATTTCAAAAACCACAAGCACCATGTTCTAAAGCAGAGGGACTATCTAATCTGTTATCAGCTCACAGTTCATAAGCCTGCATCTCTGATGATATGGGGGTGCATTAGTCCCTCTGGGATGTACAGCTTACACATTTAGAAAAGCACAAGCAATGCGGGAAAGGTACGGTGCGCAGCACTGCGGCTTCTGAATAAATGAAAATGATTTAACACAGTTATTTATACTTTTAGCAGCTCCTTTTATTCCACAGCTGACCTGCTAAAAATGACAGATTTTCTTTTCTGGATCTCTGACAGCAGGACTTCAATCTCTGAACTTGTAAAGTTCTTTTAAGATTTCACTGTCATTTTTCATGAATGGACACTTCCTTGTATCTGAAGCAGGAAACATAGCCTTATATGGTGTTTTTGGGGTGATGATTATCCTCTCGCGTGCACGAGCAGCTGGATACGAACAGGTGGAATTTATGCAGCTCATTTACACACTTTTCCTGAAGATAGAAGAGTTTGTTGAATCTGACGTGACATGTTCGTACAAACCCTTTGTACGAACAAAAGTAAGAGAAATTTAGGATAAGAATACGAACATGTTCTTGCATGAGGCCCATTGAATTCTGTTTATATTTCCATTTTACGCAATGTCCCAACTTTTTTCAGAATTGGGTTTGTACAAAAATAATGGGTTTCTGGTGATAAAATCTCCTAACACACAAACAAAAAGAACTGAGAATTTGCTACAAATTGTTATATTATATAATCATTTCTGAAACTTAAGTAAAACAAGATGAGTAATTTGTTGAACTAGTTCACACTGTTTCACACATTACTTTGTGAAAAGAGGAAAACAGAATGCAGCAGTGAAATGCAGCTTTGTCCATGAAAATCTGAGTCAACAGTTATTAAAACTGTGAATCTTGAAAAAGATATATGACATCAAAAATGACATCAAATATTTTCTAACTCAACTAAAACGAAATTAAAACTGAAGCAAAATACATATATGAGCCAAACATTTAAACCACTGATAAGTTATGTGAATAACACATTAATTAGTTTTAGTAAATTTTGAGTTAGCCTAGGTCGCATTAAGGTAAACATTTGTTCAAGAATTGCTCCCACCCACTGATGTTTTTCTATTCTTTTTTTTAGCTGACTAGCAAGACAAATGTTATCAAGCACAAAAACTGTTTGAGAATGTTTTAAAAGAACACAACAGGGAGCTTAAAAGTGTTGATCCAGCCTCCGGACCCAGTGCATTTGCGGAATGCAGCGGAAAAAACTGATCCACTGAGATACCACTCCTCACCCCACAAAATCTACAAGGCCAGAAAATACATAAAGGCTTGGCATTCAAGTTGTAACCTAAAGAAGGTGATTTAATGTTATGGCTAATAAATGTATTCATGATCCTCAGGATTGACTGAAACTAAAGTTGAACAGCAGGTTTTTCAAGTCAGCTCAGGTTAAATGTTAATTGGTTAATAAGCACAAAAGCATGCCATTTTCCTGTGTGAAGGTTTACAAATCAGGACATAAATAAAATCCATCTCATCCTTACCAGGTTTAGAAATGTTGTACATAGTATTATGTTCAGTGGTCTCTAATACAAGACATTTTACATTTTATTTTAATTATTCACCAAACACTTACCTAAAATGCAAATGCAGAGTGTTAAAAACGTTGTATGACTTCATTGGTTTTATTGAAATTATGAGGTTATTGGTTGCCATGGCCTGCTAATCAAATGCACCTGACTACCTGATCCTCATCAAGTATGGATGTCTCAATGACATTTTAAGTTTTGGTGATTTGCAAGTCTGGGGGGTTCAGATGTGTGAAGTAACACCATTGAATGAAACAGGTAACTAGCAAATTTGCATTTCCTGTGAAAATGCAGTGTGAAAGTTTGATGCAGAAATATTGTTGCTGAATAGCTTAAAAGTGAGCTTAAATAGCTGAAATTAGCACAAAGCTACAGAATGAGCACATTTGTTTAAATATGCAGTGAAAAGCTGAAATATCACTAAAACATGAATTTAGCTGAAAAAATAGTTAAAAATAGCAACAGCTGTAATTAGAAAATAGCTAAAAGAAACATAGAAAAGCTTAAAGCAAAAAGAAGCCAGAAGCATAAAAAGTTAAACTTAGCAAAAGAATAGMAGAAAATGTCAGAATCATATTTTAAAAAAGCTAAAACTAGCTAAATAGAAGCCAAAAGAAGCTGAATTCAACACAAATAAGTTGAAAAGGCAAAACCAGAAGAAAAGTTTAAAAGTTCAGTAAAGATTTCTTTACATTTTGAAGGGATTTAAGGATGCTGAAGACAGCTCCATCAAGTTTAAATGAGAAAAAAAATATGATAGAAACAAAGCTAAATATCACAAAAAGTATAAATTCTTTAAGTACCAAAAATCAGCAGGAATGTGAAGGAGCTGGACATTTAGATAMATTTCGCAAAAACTGCGGAAGGAGTTATGTGTCGAAAAACATACAGAAGAAAAAGTGATCTTAACAAATAATGATCTATAAATAATGATTTTGTCTCATTTTAAACTTTAAATAATAAAACTGGAATAACAAAAATCACTACAACATGGCAGTGATCACAACAAAGTGGAGACTACCAACTGAATAAAATCCAATGCTTGGTCCTTGAAATTTGAAAAAATTGAAATATTGTCTAATAAATATTGTCCATGAAATATTGGTAATGTCACTTCTAGTTACCATTGCTAATGCTATTAATGTGTTTAGCTTTGTTTTATGCACACTGCTTTTGCACTTTACTTGTCTTTTTTAAATCATTCAAATATAACAATGATAAACGTTGAATTGTTTGTTGGCGTTTATCAGACATTCTGCATTAAACCTAATAAGGAGTAGATGATTTTTGTCCTGATGTTTGCAAGTTCAAAACTTTTTTTCACTTATTTTCTTGCCACTTCACTAGAAAGCAGAACAGAATATCAGAATATTAGTATCTTAGCTTCTTCATCATCAGTGGCTTTTTTTTGCAACTTCAAAACTGAATTAAGTGTTTTTCTTTCTCTCTACCCTGAATTTATCAATATCCCTTAGTTTCAGATTTTTCATTGCAACAGAGAGACTATACTATTCATTGCAAGAGAACACTGTAGAGACTGTGATTGTTAAAAAATGACTGCATGCATAATTTCACTCCCCACAGATCTCCTCTCTTTTTTAGTTGTGAGTTTTCCTGATTTCTGTCTTTGCAAACCAGAGGCACAACAACAGAGAACTGAAAGGATTCAAATGTGCATTTTTTTTTTACCAGTTTACACAATGGGATAACATCAATATCTAGTGCTCAGAGTTCTGCATTTCATATCAGGTTTTCTCTCTTTAAGACATGGCTAAGTCTGAGCTAGGCTTCAGTGGCAGAAAGAATCCAAAACAATGAATGCAATCACTTCTGCAGAGGAAATCTGAGTGTGCTGCACCTAACTATGAGATCAAACATGGACAAAAAAGCAAACATATTAACAGTCCTCAAAAACATGCACAGCCGTTCAACCCAAGCGTGRACAGAGACAAATCTGGAAAGAAAACGAGAACACATGAAGAGGAACACAGGAAGGCCTGATGACGTTAGTGGAAATGTAAAAATAGAAACAGCAATCAGTGTGATCAGAAATCTGTCAGTGGAAAAAAAGCACAAGTCAGATGCCCAAAGGAGTTTCCTGCGGATTGCACAGGGGAAGGGAAGACAGTCAGTTTTTGTACAAAAACAGAACAAACATGAAACACACCTCAAACCACATTCACCTAAAGACACTACAGGTATTCCAACAAATTAGACTTAATGAAGGGATATTCCAAATTAAATTGTGATGAGTTATTAATAAATGTACTGTTCCATGTTGACATGGATAATATTCTAAAGTTTATTGTAGAGTAAATTGGAACATGAATTCATTAAATATATTACATAATTACATAAAAGACATAAAAATATTAAGAAGGGGCAAAAACACCAAAGGGGACCAAACACTCATGCTGCCACTCATTTTATGACCTTAGTCTCATTATCACAAAGAGCTACTTACAACTTTATTAGCCTTAGCATGTGGTGAAAAGGAAAAATATTAACAATGAGGAGAGCTACTCTGGGACAATTCTACAGTGTTACACAGTAGTGTAAAGAAGGCAACTTTGTCCTTTTTTTTCCTTCCTCTTCTTTTGAATAGCTTGCAAAAAGCAGCCCTAATAAAGAAACATCTTAGCTTTTATGGTGCCTTATTCATGCAATTACTGGATCCGATTCAGAGAGTGCCAAGTGAAGACAAAAATTTACATACTTGGCTGGAGTACGAAGATAATGTTGCTAATGAGAGCATTTCGTGACAAGGACCAAATTATAATGCCAAAAGGATGAAAACGGTGGAAATGTAGGCAACTTGTTGCAAACATCACTTGGAGTTTTCAGCCGTGATATTATAAAGACTTAAATAAAACTACAAAATGATGACATTGAATCTGTTAGTAAGGAATAAATGTATACTGTGCAAAGTAATATGTAACCAAACTGCTGGTCATATTTCTCTGAGACAAAGACTTTTTCATAAATACTATTTCGTTTGGTCRAAATGAGGACACTGTCTTTGCTCCCCTTGATGATCAGCTTAATGGCGATTTAATGCTCTCTCAAAACATCCTGTCAAGTYGTGTGTCCCTGCAAATGCTGGGGATCCTAAGCCCCTGGACCACTGACACATTTATTTTTTTAATCACAAATCTTGGTATTTGGCATGTGATCTTTTCCCCTCTGAAAAACTACATAAACTTCAGTGAGGGCTTTCGCCACCCCATCAGAAAGCTGTAGTAAGAGTTAGCTACGGTGTGGAAGAGTTAATCTTCCCCTGTGATTGCTTTTCTCTGCATTAGTCTGGCTACAATCTGACATGCAGCATATTGACTACGTTTTGGGAGAGAGACAGAGGATTGGTGAGAGGAAAGCAACACAAGGGGAACTTGCCTATAATAAAAAAAAAACTGCAATGAGGTACAGTAGGGCTTGAGAGGGTAGAAGCTGGACTGGGCTTGGTGGTTCTGAGATAGACAGGGAGAGCACTAAAAACTTACCAGGGCAGTTGTGATAGGATACATTCTGTGTTCTTGGTCCTATTCTGCTTGGGCATGGACCTTGAGAAGCAAAAAGATGGGGCTACATACATGCATGTTTAAAAACTGTTTGGAATGAAGTGATGTCCTGATTGTGTTTACACTTGGTAAAAGAGATTGGTGAAGATTAAATGTCTTTGGGTGGAAGTTCAATTATTATTATTTTTACCAAACTAGAGCAGTCTCGACTACTTCCTTTGTGCAAGACAGAAGCAAAAGACAATCATAACGGTGGGTGGACATGAGTGCACCTTGAGGCTAATCCTTCTTTTATGGTTGGGGGTAACACAGCAAGACATGGGATCAATACTTCGCTTTGTTAGATAAGGCAAGAGGAGAAACAAAAAGAAAAAGCAAAAAACAAAAGCAGCTGGAAGTTAAATGCATGAACTACATGATTTGTCTTGGTCTCAAATGACCATTCGTGCTTGCTCCATCTTTAATTACAAGTCCTCAAAACCTCAGAGAGGTTAACCTTTAAGTTGTAATGAGTTTCACCATCTAATGATGTTCAGTGGTGCAGTCGGATTCAAAACTAAGGGGAGCAACTTAGACAGGTACAGTGGTAATGAGCAAAGCAGAACAGATATACCTAATAGCAAGTGCAGCATAATAAAACTGCTTTTTCATATATATAAATATATATTTAGGCTTGTTTTTTAATTTTATTTGTTTCCCCGACTGCTCCAAAGCTGAAACATATCTGCACAAAACACTCATTTGAGTCGAAAAGAGCTAACAGACTATCTCCCCAATTTTCCAGCACTGACTATTTAAGTTCCACCTGATGATGTTTTTTGCACTTCATCTACATCTTTGTCATTAATCAGTCTTTAAAGGTTAAATGGGGGAATTTTCTGCACAAACTGCAAATGAACATGGCAGCTTAAAGGACAAAGGGGAATTTTAATACAAGGGGCAATCTAAGGATTGTTTGGAGGCTGAATGGCAATGAATATTTTAGCATCAGAGGAGCAGACAAAATGTTAACACTATCTCTCCAGATGAATTATTGCCTTGTTGACTTGTGAGAGGAGCTTTTGGTTTTGTTACATAATGAAACATCTGTTAACACATTTCAACACCTGTTGTATGGCTGTGTATTAAACAATCAAATTGAGCTGTGCTTTTCGCCTGATGGATTACTCCGCATAGGACTTGAGAAATGAAACTCCCGTTTGCTATCACAAAAAGTCAGCATGACTTCCTCTGCCCTCCCTCTATTCTGCTACCTCATATAACCAGGCTCGTAGATCCACTGGAAACATGGTGAGCACATCAATAATGAGGGGAGTGCAGAGGAGGACCAAAGGGTTTTACAGGTCATATTTCATGGAAAGTTCACTGCGTGACACAGATTGAAGAAGAGACAGAGGGAAGAGGGTGCTAGAAGTTACTGCAGACAAAGAGAGGCAGCGAAGAAATGGGACAGGATATGGTTTAACACGGATAGGAGACAGAGGGCAGAGAGGAAGAGAGAATATGAGAGGGGGGTGGGGTCAAGTCATGACGGAAGGGGTCATACTTACTGTAGGGCACACACTCATACTGGACCTCCAGGTACTTGTAGGTCCCTGGGCAGGGGTCAGGGAAGACATCTGAACCTGTGATCACAATGCACTGCGTCCGATTGTTGCATCTAGCAATAAAAAAGAAAAGGAAAGAAAAGAAAGAGCCACAGTTAAAAATTGATGCCAGCCTTCCCAAGTAAATGAAAAAGTCAACAAATATAGTGCAACAAAAACTCTCAAGTGGTGTTCAGACTGGAAAATAAAGAKCAGTGAATTGCAGTTTTCAGGCAGCAAAGCTATTTATTTTGTTAGCAACAAAGTGATGGCAAACTACAAAACTTTTTACAGATGGCACTTTTTTTTCACTTGCCCATTGTAGCTTCATTGGTTATAAGTTGGTGGAGGTTTTCCGCAAKATTTTTTTTATTTTATTATAAAGAGCTTCTGTCTAAATGGGTTAAATACCCTGGTCAACCGTCTCTAAAGATGTAATGATTACAGTTTCATGTCACATCTTACACCTCTATTACATTGAAACGTTCATGTTTATATAAAGTTGTTAAAATGTAATTATTTTGTCCATCCATAAGATTTTTTCTTCCACTGCCTTTCATTTTATTTGATTTGTATTTTTTTGTTTTATGTGAATTTGTTTTGTCTTTTAAATGAAACAAATAAATAAAATAAATAAATAAACATAATGAAATGATGACATGAAAACTAATAAATAACCTGAAATATTGTAAGAACTCAGAAGCTTCCAAAATACTGCAGCTGCATTAATAAAGGAGACATATCATGCTTTTAAATCATTTTTCACATTTAAATCACTCAGTTGGGGTCTATATAAAACTTAACTGCAATGCTTTGGTCTGAAGTCCACCTTATTGTAACTCCACAAGCCCCTATTTCACCCCTTTTCTGAGGTGTGTCTCAGATCAACTCGTTTTGACACTGCCTCTTTAAATCAAAATTCAGCCACTTCACACCCCGCATCCCTCCAGCTTTCAGACCAGTCCATTCTAGTTTGTTAGCAGAAATATGACCATCTTGCGGCGCAGACACATTTTATTTACAAATTATTTGAAAATATGTCATCAACAGAACTCACTACTGTGATGTAATCGTTCAGAAAGCATCAGAGTAAACAGAAAAAACTGAACAAGCTGACAAACATGACCCAAACAGAATATAAAATATATATATGCAGCAGTGAATCAAATAGTCCACGGGCTAAAATTGTATGCACACCTAGAGATTCCAAGTACACAACAAAATGCATTTAACAACTAAAAAAGTGGATTTTGCGTGATATATCCTCTTTAAGGTATTCTACGGTGGGTCATTTTGTAGAGCTGATGCCTCTCAGCAAGAAGGTCACCAGTTCAAATCTCGGCCCGGGGACCTTTCTGGGTAGAGTTTGCATGTTCTCTCCGTGCATGTGTGGGTTCTCTCCGGGTACTCCGGCTTCCTCCCACAGACCAAAAACATGACTGTTAGGTTAATTGATAACTCTAAATTGTCCCTAGGTGTGAGTGAGAGAGTGGATGGTTGTGTGTCTTGTTTGTCTCTATGTGTGGCCCTGTGATGGACTTGCGACCTGTCCAGGGTKTACCCCACTCCTCGCACTGTGACTGCTGGATATGGGCACCAGTGACACCCGTGACCCTGAAAGGAATAAGCGTGTACAGAAAATGGATGGATGGGATTTTAAAAATCTTTGTGGCATGTGTTTTTTGAGAAACTGAGACAATATGTAAATTTCTATTACAAACGAGTGAAACACAATGTACTTTTCATTTACATTTTGTTCTTAATTTCATCAACATTGCAAGTAACATTTGGACAGCAAACATTCAAACTGGCCCACTGGGCTTTGAGGTCCCAGTAGTTGCAAGTTACCACTGATGGATTCATGATAAGGCCATTAAAGTCCTCTTTGTTACCTAGGGGACTTAAAATTCTATGAGCAATGTGAGAAGTCAAATCAATAACTTTGTTCTGCTGATTTAGCTCAGTCTAGAGAAAATATTTGTCATCTTATCACAGAGCAGTAGCCCCATTTAAAGCACCACTGAAACTGTATTTCTGATTGCATTGTGTTTTCCTATTTTGTTGGCTTTAGAAGTAATCACTGCTCAGGCACTAAATGTTGCTAATATAGTATTTAGGTATCTCAGTGGAACAGTTAGTTGTTGTTGAGATAAAAAGCKATTTATTCACAAAGGGGGTCAGAAAATGGTGCTCTTTTGGTTGCAGATTGTCACCAACTGTACTTTGGCTGCGCGTCATGAGTGCACGCAGGGCATTGTGGTTTATAACACAAAACTGTATTTAGAAACTTAAACAAAAGGTTCCTGTATTCAAAAAAAAAAAGAAAATCAAACTAATTGGCAGGCGAAGCAGTGAGACATTCGTTATTGTGTTTAAGCACTAAAGAAATTAATCTGCAGTACCAAACGTGTAAAAAAATTAACAGAGCTTTTCCATTTTCTTTAAATATATTTGATTAAAAAGACCTTATAAGTGAAATTAACAAGCAAGTTAAAACAGTGCATTATATCATCCCASAGACAAGTTTATGTTCACATCTGCGTGCACATCTGTGAGCAGGGAAGATCTCAAAGGGGCCTTCCACTATATTAATGACCTCCAAGTGTAATAACAGAGAAAAAATATCAGCATTTCCCCGTTGTTCTCGTGGAAATGAGCAACTATTTAGAAATTAAAACACGCACCTCATGCTGAGACCATAATATGCTGCTTGTTTTTGTGGCTAATATTTTATGAATCTGCAGCGCTCCCCACATATTAAATGGTCACTTTGATGACTGTGTCTGCTTTCTTCATGCATGAGCATTATCATGCAGAAGCAATATAAATTAAAGCGCTTTATCTACCGGATTCCATTGAGACCTGGAAATGAATGTCTAGTTTACTTCAGGCATATGAAATGGAATTGTATAAAAACATAAAACTAGTGACACTAATGAGACGTAGACCTGCCATCATTACTCAGGCAAATGTATTGAACAACAGAGAGAAGCACTAAAAAGCTCATATTTCTTTTGAAACAATGTTGACATAAGTGTTGATAGCTCTTCCTGATGTATTGCCCTAATTTTAGARCGGTGGAACAGGGGCACCCTGATCTATGGAACCGTGCGAGTCTGATTACCGTCTCATCTGTGAAACCTCAGGCATCTCCTGAGACCAATTGAAAGAAGCCCTAATGACTCCTTCTATGCAGAGTCCTAACACTCATTTTGAGAGAGAGCATGTAATTGAAATTCCACCAATAAAAATGTCAGCATTTGCTTTGCCAGGGCACAAGTCTCACAGTGCACACTAATTAAGTACATTTAAAACATGATATCTCTGACTATCTTTTTGATAGTCTGAGGCTATACATTAATTAATCGTCTACACAATGAATATTAAGTCAAATGAAGTTTTTTTTCCACATTTCTCCAGAGTGAAACATTCTATAAATACCCAACAAGTTAAAGTAAAAAAAAATGTGAAAACTGAAATTGTTTTCTGATGAAAGCAGTTAAAAATGTAATTCCAGGAAAAGGATTTTTAAGGTAAAACAACTGCTTGACAGAAGTTACAGTAAAATAAGTGCAAGATGGAGCTTTCTTTTATGAATGCCACCCCACCCCCCCTCTC